TACTACACCTAATCCGATTTTTTATAAATCGGTTTGTACTAAAGAAGAACATCATACCGCGGAAAATATAGCTAAAGAAATTGAAAATGTAATGTGCGAAATTAATATTGATAAGTTTGTCTGCATAATCATGGATAATGCAAATAATATGAAAGCTGCGTGGAATATTTTAAAAAATAAATATTCAAACAAGATCTTTCTCGGATGTTGGGCTCACGGAATAAACCTTTGGGTTAAGGATATTCTTAAAAATGAATAGGCTCTACAAATTTTAAAAAAAACTAAAGAGTTAGTTTTGTATTTCTGTAATCATCAAATTCCTATGGCAACTCTTCGTTATTTACAAAAAGAAACTTACAGTTTTGAGATTGCTCTTGTTTTAACTGTTGATACGAGGTGGACATCAACTTTTGAGTGTCTTGATCATGTTTTACGAACACAAGCTGCAATTTATGCAATATTAATTGAAGATGGTATTGAATTAGATGAAAATATCAAAGCAATTATTGTGGATTATATGTTTTGGGCAGATCTTAAAAAACTTCGTGATTTCCTAGAACCATTTATTATCTTTATACGTCAATTAGAGAGTGATGAACTATATCTCTCTTCTGCATATAAAATATTGCAAGATTTAAAAAAAAAAATTATAAATAATGTACAAATTCCAGTAGAACTTCGCGATAATACATTACAAGCAGCTAGAAATCAATGAGTTAATTTTCTATACAATCCGGCAATTATAGTTGCATATATGCTTGATCCTAGGTATCGTGGTGAAGATCTTGATCTTCAAATATGGGCAGATATAATAAATAATGAAGTGATTCGAATTGCAGGAGTTGATAATAAAAATCAAGTATTAGATGAGTTAGCAGAATATATTGAAAAATCGGGTGGTTTCACAAGAAAGTATTTATGGGAAAATCTTACCTCAAAACCACTTAATTGGTGGAATTTATTAAGCATGCAATATCCAACTTTAAGTCAAGTTGCACATAAAGTTTTATCAATTCCTGCCGCTAGTGAGCGTAATTGGTCTGCCTATAGATTTATTCATTCAAAACTGCGTAATAGAATGCTTACTCGAAAAGCAGATAAGCTTGTCTATATTTATTGGAATACACAAATTCTCCGTCGGTTGGGAAGATCTGTATTAATTAACAATTCACAAGAAATATCTGTTAATTCAGATAATCAAGAACTTGATATTAATGTAGATGATGACGAAAATGAAGAGCTTAATGGAAACTTTACCGATTTTTCTAATTGGCTTCTTAATACATTCGACAACTGTGAGCATGAATTCGATAATTATTCTGAGTGAAAATCTATATCCTTTTTTTTTTTTCTTGTAATATGCAAAAATGAAAGTGATTAGTCTACTAAAAAAAAAAAAAAAACTAACACATTATAGCAAAAGAAGTAGTGTTAGAAGGAAAACTTTAAATAACATTTAGGTCAAATTTTTATAATGCCAGTACATTCTTAATGTAAGGTTACATCATAATCATGTGCTAATTTTCTATTAATGTAAAAGTTACGTACAATTTCGTAAATTACAATGTAATTTACATGTAAAGTAAATTGTAATTCATGTAATGCCAACCCTACTAGTCATAAGTGGTGCTTGAATATTGGAACCTCGACATCACGCGACGTCACAATTAAGTTTCGGTTTCGGAATTTTAACTTTTAGAATTTTACTTTCAGAATTTTGGCATAAACCTGGGGATAACGATACATCGCTATAGTGATAAATTAATTACAAAGCCTTTGTTTCATTACATATAACGAAATTAACAACTCTTCAAAATTCTGATTTTAAAATAGCAACCATGACATTATTTCATGATAAATGTTCTGCGTCAATACAAAATTTGTTGATTCTCGATCGACACATGTTATTTTTCAATCACAACCGATTGAAGAAAAACTTAAGTGAATTTTTAATGTATATAATTAGTTATTAAATTAATTATATTACAATAAATCAGTAGTAATGACGGGACATAAATACGTGTAAGAAAAAAAATAATAATAATAAAGATCAAATCTTTGACTTAATAACAAAGATATAACATTCTGAATCGTGAGTCTTTTGAATCGAAATTTGAAAACCTACGTTAGCCAAAGGAAAAATAATGCTACAATGATAAGTGTTGGAACGTATTAAAAAAATCCAAACCTTCTACATAATCCAAATTTAAACATTGGATACTTTATATCTGTACAACCGAAGTGCTTCGTTCAATTAAGCAAGCTGAAGACAATTTAGAGACACAAATTTGTCCGGTTGAAACCTTTTATAAAATAATTTGCTCCACGCACCAAGCGACTGAACGTACAAAATTTGGAAAAATTCGTGTAAAATACTGTAGTTGAGGATGCAATTTGAAACGTATATAGTTGTATCATCAGATGAGCTCTCAAAAAAGGTTCACCAATTCGTCCAATAATTTCGAAGGTTTTCTAATCCACGTACATACGTATAGTACACTAATTTTTCTAATAAATACAATAGTTGACATTATAAGCTGTTTAATTTTGATTTTTAATATTGTATAATACAGAATTAACGATTTGACATCTCTTTAGGTGAAATGGTCGCCATCACTTGAGAAAATCGACTTAATTGCTGTCATTGTACAAAAAATATTATTAGTTGTTCTTGTCACTGAAATAATTTACAATGTACAAAAATATGTGGATATGTTTTACGCGATCAATGTAAAAATAGATTTTTTTTTTTTTTTACAAATTTTATTTGACAAAATTTAAGTAATCAAAAACGCATATTTAAATTACGTTTAATAAATTTTACTGATTGGGGTTATAAAGGCGATTGCTGTGGATTCAGAGTCTTGCAAGTCCAGACACTGATAGAACTCCTGATCTCTGTGTTCATTAAGCAGCCTGCGTGCGGATTCTACTGGATTTCACCGATTGCAAAGTAACTTTTAAATTCACGTCAATTTTTGAAGTGATATAAATTGAAAAATGACGCGGAACAATAATATGGAATAAAGAAATTAAATTTCGGAGCAGGATCAGTAATTATCCATTCAAACCTCTATTGGAATCCATTTGGTATATGAAGTAATTCTTACAAATAATACCACTATAAGATCGAATTAGTAAAAAAATAAATATAAATTTCACGTGCGACTTTCAATTATAAATTTTAAGGCGCGGCGCATTGGCGCTTTATTAAAATGCACACCCTAGCATATCAGATATATTAATTTTTATAAAAAAAATAAATTTGACACTTTACTCGAGTTTCCTGATTAATAAAATTACAATCAAAGTTAGGTCAGTAAATTATACCGCGTCAAAATGATTCAAAAATTAGATTCATTGAATTAAAGTTTATCATTTAAAAATTGAACCTAATAAATTTTCAAAACATTGAACAAAATATATCAACCATTAAAAAGCATTTTCTATTCTAACATTCTAAAATAATAAATATTTTGTCACGTTCAATATTAGAAATACGTGGAATATTTTGTGTATAGTTTGATATTAGAAATACGTGGAACCTTTTTGTATAGTTTGATATTAGAAATAGGTGGAATATTTTTGTATAGTTTAATATTAGAAATACGTGAAATATTTGTATAGTTTAATAATAAACAGTTAAATTATAATATTTTTAGTTAGCATTTACTATTATGTAAGAAACCAATCAGTGTTCTCGGAGTAATCCTTTACACTTATACGGATCTTTCCTTTTTATTTATCAATCTTATCTTTATTATTTACACTATCTTACTTATTTATTATTTTTTTCGTTAATAATAAAAAAAAAAAATTTTTCACATGTACTGTATTACTTTAATAATTTTTTCTATTTGATGGGATAAAGATCCAATCATGCATTATAAATGAATTTGTGACTCAAAATTTTGAACGCGAAATAAAAGGGAAAAAGATGATATGATTAAAGATTATTATTGGTTATTAATTTAGATGGTAACTTTATGGTTTATTCTATTTATTTCTATTTATTCTATTTCTTCAATTCATTCATTCATATTATTGCATTGTAAAAAACTTTAATGAATGAATAATGAATACCGACCGATAAATGGAATACATAAATGAATGTATAATATTCCAATTTATTTAATTTATTTGCTATGATGAGATGCTCCTTGTTTGAAGAAATTCTATTTTTAATATCTCTAACACTAAGGTTACAAAATTAAATTATTAGGCAATTAGGTAATTAAATAACAGATTGCACGTAAAGTGTACTTCTCTGACGCCAGGGACATTTTGTTGACACTTAAAATTATTAATTAATAATACCAGCAGACTAATACGTATATAACAGATAATAAATTACATGTACTAATGTGCTGTATGCAAAAAAATAATAATGACAAGCTTATGAATTAGAAAATTAAAAGAAAGATTTTCAAATAGGAAATAGGCAATAGGCAATAGTCAAGTATAGTTACGTACGGTACGTACTGTAAACGTACGTACATATGTACATAAGTATGTACGTAAATTTCCTTAACAAAGATAAAAAAGATGATTTCGGAGAGAAGTAAATAATTATCTTTTTTTGTTAAAATATTTTTGGTAACACGACTTTTTGTTTACCTAGCGCCATTAAGAATAAAGAAATGCAATTTTTTTGAAAGAAAAAAAACGCGTGATTCGTGTGATTTTATGTAGTATGATAACGTGTCTTTAAATGTAACGAAACACTAAGAAATGTTGTGTACAACACCTGATTTTTTATGAAGTTTAAAAGAAAACATTTTTACGTACGAATTATCGTTATTGAACTTTAAAAATAATAAAGAGGGCAAATAAATTCTTTATAAGCTAAACCTTATAAATTTTGACTGATTTGAAATACAGTAAACTATAGTAGAAAAAAGAAATTACTAATAACAAATAACAAGATCATTAAAATTACTTTATTAGGTTAATTATTTATCATAATTCGGTGTCATCCTTGTTCTATAATGTGATACATCAAAACATGTTTATCGCGTTTTTCCATTACAGATTTGTTTATAATAAAAAAGCCTAGACTTTTTAGAAATGATAGAAGTAAAGTTTATGAAACAGTAAAAATATTAAAATATATATAGTATATATTATAAAAACTCATATGGATGGATGGATGGATGGATATAAAAGAAATCTATTGTTAAAAAAAATGAAGAAAAAAAAGGAAATTGTTTGATTATCCTTAAAAAGTTCCTTAACAAACCAAAAAAAACAAAATGTAAACAAACAAGGCGCTACGTATTAGTACCGGTAGGTAAATCATTACGATATTCAATGAATTCCAAGGACATAATATTTTTTTTATCTAAAAAACAAACAATGGACCTTTCAACTCATATGAAAAAAAAAAATAGAGATACGTACAGTGTTTGTACAGTGTATGCACTATAAGTATGTATATACTTTATGATTCGTACATACTTTATGATTCGTACATACTTTATTATTCGTACATACTTTATGATTCATACAAGTTTCGTACAAGTTTCGTACAAAATTATCAAAAAGAAAGTAAGATACGTAAGTTATTTTATTCGTCATTCGTAATAAAAAAAACGTGCGTTAAATTAATACAAATTAATATTAATAATTCACTATTAAATTCTATTATAATTCCTTAAAAATATACATTATTTTGTTGATCTATAGTCAGATGATAACTCTAATTTTTTTTAGCGAATAGAACATTGTGAATGAATGCACAATTTTGGATATTAAGGGACATGACGAAAAAACTTAAAAAATTTATAGTTCATAAATAATATATTTAATGAGAGGCCATAATAAGATTTATCCTTATCATGCGTTATTAATCGTTATTAGTCTATAATTGAAAATTTTGAATAATGGTGTTTTTCTTTTTTGCTTTTTTCCAATAACCTATAATAAGTAATATTTTTTTGAAAATAGAGAAATACTTCTTGTTCTAAAAGATACATTGTTTATACTTTGTGTAATATTTTATCGTAGCCATGATAAACTTATTAATAACTTAATATTGACAAAAATAGTATATCGAAATATTTGAAATTTAGGTAATTATTATTTTACATACTTGTTTGTTTTTGTTTCACAGATCAAAAAGTTTTTTGGGGTCGAATGTTATTAACACACTTATTACTGTATTACTGTACTGTATTATTACTGTATTGTTACCGTACTGTTAATGTACTGTATAAGATTATCATCTATATCGATATCTTTTACCTGTCAAATTTTACGTACGTAAGCACGTAAATAAGTATGTAAGTATCTGGTAAGTATCTGGTATGTATCTGGTATGTATCTGGT